ATTATAGCATTAATATTTTTTAGTTTCTTTAAATTAAACAACATTAAATTGAAAAAATGATAATACAAATTTAGGAACTTTATAATCATCGAAAACTTGGCCAAATGCAGAATCTTAAAAAAATCGTACCCGTTGTAAAAGCTAAACCGAAAAAACAGAAAGTAAAATATTAAATATTTTAATAATATATTTATTAAATAACATTAATTTTTTAGTTTCAGTCGCAATTATTAAAACTGGAACAAGAGTATAAGGTTTATCCACCGTGATCAATGAAAACTGCATACGCATAAAAAAATCAGATGGGGGACATTTTTGCATAAAATCACCACCAATCAAAACAGCAAGTGACTATTTGGTTATTCAAAAATACAAAACTTCTGATATGGAAAAAGTCGAGTCAAAAGACAGGTAACTCTTCTTATTTTGTATAAACAGGTTATAATAAGTTTTGCACTAGGTATCATTCATATGAATAAAAAAAGTACAATATACCAAACAATTTTGAGAATATGTAATGATGTTTCAACGATGATACTAATAATCCAGTTAGTATGTAAAATATTTAACTGACCCCCCAAATTGTGTCATCTAGTATATTTTATAAAATACGTATGATAATATGAAAATATATTGTGCAATTATAATATGCAACCATTAATTTGTTTTTAAAATAGATGGAAAACAACCACGTTTAACTCAAAAACTATGCTGAACGAAAAAGATAAAGCAGACAATACAATAATAATGGCATTTAATAACTTACAGGATTTAATAATGGATAAGTTTATGAGTAACAACGATAAAAAAATTGAATCTTATAAATAATAACAATATGTTTGTACTATTTTTGTTTTTACTAGATTATACATAATAATATCTGTACATTTTTTATTTATTATCAAACAATTTAAATATTTGTATACAAATCTATTATAGAAAGCTTACAATTATTCCAATAATTTAAACAATATGATTATATTATGGAAAATATTTTTTCATGTAATTAACTAACATTTAAGATTACTTATAACATTTATATTATTAACATTTGTTTTTAAATAAAACTATGCATTTGACAAAATGTTATACTATTTTATTATCATTTGTATTTTTAAATAAAACTATGCATTTGTCAAAAGTTATACATGTAATCAATGATTAATATAATGCTTAATATAATGCCTGTAAACTTTCCATGATGTATTTGTTGTAATTAAAGTAAAAATGACCTCACTTCATCCTTCAGCTCATCCATTTTGAAATTATAATCTTTGATATATACACTGATAAAATCACTTATAATACATTCACGTTACACTTGAATAAAATAACCACAGATAAAGGTTGATCAACAAGGCATTCAATATAAATGTTTTTTTCTTATATTCTGTTGATATATGCTGAAAATTGATTCGTCTTTTATGGGACCCATGAAGTGTGTATAATTATTTAATCATGGAATTCCAGATGATAATATTTTGGTTTGGATTTCACTCCAGGAGCCCTTCTATGGGTCTTCAATAAATTATATAGTCAAACGTATTGATTGATTTTTGACGATTGAAATATATGATCCAATTTTAATTAAACTATTATTACTTTGTTAAATGGCTACAGCATAGACAACCCTACTATATTGTAAAAACGCCACTAAAGTTAAATATAGAAAAAGATAAATATATACTACAATGTGCATCGGATAACAGTTTGATCACATTATGAAAGTTAAAAGTGATTATTTAACTGATGATTTTTTGTTTATTGATCAATATTTTTTTCAAATCGAAAAACAGATGATTGATAACAGTGCATAAACAAGTATCAGGTCCACAATCACAATTTTGATTTGACCACGCACATAAAGTAAAATGATTATTGTTTTTTTCTGTTCCGCATTTGATGGCACCGCTTTTTAATTTTGATAATAATGTATAAAATTCAGCTAATTCCTTGAAGCAAAAGAGTGATGGATGAATTATACCCATTTCTGAAATGTCTCGTTCAATTTCTTTTAATAAGTCCATTGTAAATAATAACACACAATTCAACGGCCACTAATAAACTGGCACCTACGGGTTAAGTTGCGCTTTATTATAATATAATATAATCAGATAATTCAAAACCTAATTACTCAAAAATTAAAACATAATTTATTTAAAAACAAAAATTAAAGTTTATGAATAAAAACAGAAAAACAAAAAACAAAAAATGTAAACTCATGGCCTAGTTGACCCTGACACTGAGTGTAGTATTAGCATACTTACTTACCCTAAATTCAAATTTATCACACTCTAAACTCAACGCCTTAGTCCACTAGGCCATGAGTCTACAAGTTATTTTATTAATATTTGTACATATAAGTTAAATAATGAAAAAATAAAAAAGTTTGTATGGGCCACAAATAATAATAATCATTGTTTGTGAAAGTGGCAATCGTTTTTGAATCATCCTGTAACGAGTAAATACTTGATAGTTAAATAACTAAAGGCTTATCGCCTATAAAAACTTGGATAGAAAGCACCCAAAAATCTGATTGATCAAGGGGAAAAGTCATGGACAAACGCATTTTAATCTCCCTGTAACAGTAAAAAACTTGGATAGAAAGCACCCACAAATCTGATTGATCAAGTGGAAAAGTCGTGGACAAACGCTTTTTAATCTCCCTGTAACAGTAAAAAACTTGGATAGAAAGCACCCATAAATCTGATAGATCAAAGGGAAAAGTCGTGGACAAACGTTTTTTAATCACCCTGTAATTGTAAAAATCGGTACAGAACCGACATATTATACCTACTGATGCAACTTAGTATAGGAATTACCAAACTCATTGTTGCATATTTTTGCCCCGAAATTTCTGATGTTACTTTTTCAAGAATTTCTAAAATATTAACTGCTTCTTTGATATTTTCAATTTCTTGACCATTCAAGATCGGAGGTGCATTTATATGTTTTAATACAATTTGATTCACTACTTCTTTTAGTTCTAAAAATCGTTTTGCACATTGTTATAAAAATTGTTATAAAACAATGTAAAATCAACAAGATGATTCAAGCAATACAAATTGCTTGAATCATCTTGTTCATAGTTATAGAATGGTGATTTTATAATAGTTGCGTTCTTCTTTGCTACTGGTAGAGGTTTAACCATATCCACATATGGTTCCGATTGAACTGAGCAATCAAACATGTCTTGAGATATAGACATTTCACTTGGAATTGGACTTTGACTTGTACTTGTATTACTCATATTATTGCTTTTTTGAGTATTATTCATAATACGTAAACGGGCAGTAGTTAACATATTTTGTATGTCAACTTGTATCTTGAGTGATTCTTGTAAAGGTAGTTTTTGTAATTGAGCAGCAATGTGTTGTCCAAATATACTAAATTCATTTACTTCTGATTTTTGGGTGCAAACAAATTTCAATGCTTCGACTGCATTATCGAGACTGTTATCAATTTTCCTTATTTTTTTTGGTTTGCGAGCTGTTGATGTAATGTTCTTAGAATTTTCTCCAGTAGGGTTCTCATAATTTTCAATAGGCTGTGTTGTGACACATGGTGATAATTCTGTACAACTAATATTGTTATTATCCAGGTTATTCTCTGATGTAGCAGTGTTTACACTTTCGTTTATGACCTATAATTTAATACATTTTACTAAATATATAAACATCATATTTTTATAAATAGAATTATTTTTAATGTCAATTTTTAATTTTTAATAGGTCCCTAAAACAGTACAAGAATAGACAATATGACCAACCGTTTTACAATGTTGTCGACGACGGAAGGAGGTCATGTGGCAACGGCTCGCCACAGTCCGTTTCCTTAAGCATCATGTATTTCTCGTCAAAATGAAGTTATTCGCTTTTCATTATCCGCCCAGCTTTATTGGTTTTGAGTGTGGTTTTTGGGGTTTTAGGAGTGTGCTTTTTGTGCATTTATTTCAGATGCGATTAAAGAGATTTACAATTTTATTAGTTTTTTTTTGTCATTCAACGTACTATCGTTGTTTCGTAGGAGAAATTCTAGTACATGGATTAGTCAGTTAATGACTTCATTCGTTAAATTTTCTTCTTCATCTTCCGAGTACACTGAGGAATAATACAGATATTATAATAAAAATAGAAAATACAATACTCGTGAACGGATTACTCTAGTGATGAATTCCTTTCACTGGTCTTCTTCATGGTCATCCGATATCAATGAGTAATTTTGGATGCTCGGGGTTTCTGCCTCTAATAGATTGGCTAACAACTTGGTTTAGTACTGATTTCTTCACCATAACTTTCGTCGGTGACTTCAGTTCCTCGATATTCTTCTTCATCTTCCGAGTACACTGAGTAGTCGTACTATTAAAACATACCACTTTTATTGTCGACTACCTTCATCCTTCCTCTACTTGGTGCTACCCGTAATCCTGTGGTCTTATTTACTTCTATGCTCCACTGTTCCTGCGAGATAGGTTGTGATTTCGTGGCCTAACCTAAACGATTTTATAATAATCCAATATCCATTATTTAATAACACTGCATCCATACCAACTACAACAATCATATTTCCAATCGCTTCAACTTTAACAACAACAACAGCCACTTGAAACACAATCACAGAAACCACCACAATAGCAACATCACTCACCAGTTCAACAACAACAATACCAAAGCTAGCTACATGATGCACTAGCATACATGATTCGGTGTCCGGAGAGGTCGGACTGCGCAGTTTAACCTGCACAGCTTTAATTGATTTCCGACGACGACATACACGCCACGATTTGCCGGATACGCAGGATTGCGCAGTCACACGCTTTCCTACCAATAGTCCTCAGCTGCGAGTCGTCGAATGTTCAAAATATTTATATTTTTTCTCCGTTTTTTTCAATCAGATTCTTTAATATATTTTTCAAGAGTTCACGGATAGTTGGGAGCGGCTGTAGGAAACAAGATTAAAGAGGAAGAGAGAAATTTCGGATCAATTTTGTGGAGTCAATAGTACACGGATAGTTGGGAGCGGCTAGAGGACAGGAGATTACCGAGGAAGCGAGATTTCTGCAGTACGTTGACAGAGACAAGGGTTAAGGAGAAAGATTTTGAGCACGCAAAGTTGGTCTGGGACCACATTGATTGCGAAACGCTGGGTGACTTCCAGAATTTGTTCCTTAAAATCGATGTGTTACTATTGGCGGGCGTCTTTGAAAACTTCCGCGATGTGTGTATGAGGGCATTACTTTACCGCCCCAGGCTTGACTTTTGACGTGAGGTTGAAGTTTACGGGTGTAGTACTCCCGTGCTACACTTGTATACTTTAATTATTTAATGACGTGCTTCGATGTCCAGTTGTTGATAATTTTGGTAGAGTCACAAAGGTATTACGTCAAAGATTTGTTTAATAAAATAATGTATAATAAATGGTTACAAAGTGAAATACATTTACACTTTAGAATTTGAAGGCAGAGCTTACGCTCGGCACCTAAGAACTACGTGCAGTAAGCTAGTGTTGTGTTCCCTTTTCGGTTATGTCCGTTGTGGGTTTGTAGGTTCGTCTTCGATGTGGAAACAACTATATTATTTTTAGATTGATTCCCGGAGGATCTTATTAGGTAATAAATAAATAGTCTTTGATTCACTTAACTAAATACTTTTATTGAATACGAATTCACATGAGTCCCGTGTATAATATAAAATACGACTGCCGGCGACGCTAATTTGGTATTTCGTTATTGCGTCGACGGACATTGCCAAAAAGTGCTTATTGTGTTTATTGTGCTAATTACTCAGAAATTATAAACAGGGGTTCGTAACACCCCCCAGGGTAAAATGAAAGTTCATTTCCCATTTAAAAAAATATCTAAATTATTCTGGGTAATGGACTTTCAGGGGAATGAGTAATTCCTAGGTCCTCATTATGTTTTAGATACAATTTCTTTGTTTTGATAATTTTTATACATTAAAAATAATAATACTAATACTAATAATAAGCCCACACTGCTGACCATAACTATTACCCCGATTAGTAGATAATGATTTGAGTCATAAGTCGTATCGACAACATTTCTTTTAAAGTGACTTTGTAGTTCATCTAGTGATTTGGAATTTTCTGTTAGTTTATTCAGATTATCTTTTATTCTTAAATTTTCTTTTGGAAACAAAGCGTTATCCAAATCTTTAATAGATACATTTTTTAATATATAAAAATGTATAGATAAGTTAAGTTTTGGAGTGTAATTTTTATATATGTTTGTACTTATTTTCCTTTTAGGTACTAATTTAATTTCGTTATCTGCAGTGTAAGCCTCACAATGATTTTCTAAACTAAATATTCCAGTGCCGTTTACACTAATTATTAATGGTGCTGTTACATTTTTACATGTAATTATAATATTTTCTTTGCTCGTTACATATAACCATGAATTCTTATTTTCTAACTTATGCCATAAGTTGTGGCTAAACTTAATGTATTTAATAGTGCATACGTTTGGAAGTGTTTTAGGATTTCGGAATAACATTGTTTCGCATGAATCTCTTACGTGTTGTATAGGTTGTTCATGATTACAAATAAAAGTGTTTGTGGATATTTTACATTTTGAAAGTTGATAATTACTTATTTCTATATAATATAAAAGTGATTTATCTATTGCTATATAATCAGAATTTGGTTCAATAATAGCATACAAATTACTTCGTACTTTTACAGGTAAAGGAATAGATTTATACAACATAAGATCGTAGTTGTCAATTAATGGAATTTCCATAATAAACATTAGGATTCCTTTTACGTACACTACACTAATTTCCACTATCCGTAGTAGTTCCGATATCCCTTTCTCTGCTAGGTCAATTGGTAAGCCTAATCCTATTGGTAATTGAATTTTTATTTCTTTTAATTGTTGGTTGAATTCATTTGCGTCTAATAGACTTGGATGAATATGACCTAAAAGTGCTGAATTAACGATACTAACCAAATTTTCTGTTTCGTAAGCGTACTGGGTTAAAACTACATTTAAGAGTGCTATGCGTTCCGTCAGTGCATTTTGGAATTTCAGAATACCTACATCCATCTCTATCACGTCTGTTTTATGTAATAAATGATTGTACCCGTCTACCAGAGATCCCTGTTTCTTTTCTAATTCGATTAATGAGGAATTTACGTTTGTTAACATTGATTTCATAATTTGTGTTTGCGTTTCAGTTGTTTGGAAAAGTTGTGATTTAGAGCGTTCGAGTTCCTTGATTTTGTCGTGAAAATATTTAGCGTCAGTGTCGTCACATACACCAAATAGTACGTTAGCCACGCGTCCTACCATATTAATTAGTCCTCTCCTAGAACGTATATTATATGATTTTGGTTGCTCAACGATTTTTATGACGTGATTTTTGTTACTGTTGATTTCGGTCAAGAAGCTAGCCGCTTGATTACTGTACTGCATACAAACATGTTTTGTGTATTCTATCTTAAGATTATTTCCTAACTCACAGGATTCTTTTATTTTATTATTGATCTCTTGGATTCGTGACTGTTTTTCATTATAGTTGGTGATATTTACATATGTGAGTAACTTCCAATGCGAATTGGACAGTTGGAGGGTACTTATTGTTTGGAAATATATCCCTGATGGTTGTGTAATAGGTGTGTTTGTGAATTGTGTATTTACTTGTTTAGTACTGCCCAGTCTGAAACAATATCATATTTGTTTATTAGATTTATTATTGTTTTCATATATTTTATATT